CACTTTGCTTTTCCATGCTACAGTTCATTCTTCCAACCTTTACTGCCTCGTTGGTACTTATTTGGAAAGGGACAAGGGAAGAGGAGGGGCTTAGAAGTACATTTCTTATTCTTGAAATTGAAAGAAGCTGCACGTCTTCTAGGCAGTGCATTACTTCCCAACTTCATGGACATTTTCTTGAGAGCCAAATTGATGACCTCCCTTGCAGGCAGTGAGAGTCCAGGGCCACGAAAAGACAAAGGCCCTTAGAGAAAACTGATTAGCTTCTGATCAGGATCTAACCCACTGGCATGGAGAAAACATGCAAGACCTAATGCAGGATGTCTTCTCTTAGTCGGAACGCTAAGATAGCATCTGGACCCAGAGTAAGCTGAAGCCATGATCCAATCAGGATAAAGCTTGGGGCTTAAATTTGAGGTTAAATAAAAGCCTGCAGTCTGTATGTAAGGGCAAGTTTGAACCTTGGATTTGATTTAAACAGTGCAGACAATTTTAATGAATTTCAAAGAATAATGAATTAATAACCACAAGCTTTTATAACTCGAAATACATTATATAGTCATTAGTTCTATATAACTAAATGGAAAAATCTTTCTTTAGCAGAAGTCTTTTGAGATCAGATATTCTAATGAGATTACTATCATTTCAGGCTGACACCTCATGAGGACAATTGCATAGAAATCAGGAAACAAATTTCTTTCAGTTTTGGACCTGAAATGAAAAATCCTCCACACTGATTATTTTATATCTAAGGAGTCAATTCCAAGTCTCCTTGACATTGAAAGGAGTTCAGATATGAGCTTTTTTCCTAGTACTGCTATCAGATACACAAAAGACTCTCTCTCCTCAAATTTCTGCCAGCAACGGCAACAGAGAGAAACATACAAATGGGGTTTACTCCCTTCTCAAATAGGTAGCATGGATTTCACTTGTTTCCTGCATGGAGTAAGCACTTGAGCTCACCCTCTTTCATTTAGCAGTGTCCCACTGATTTCACTATCTCGCCAAACAGCACCACCCACATACCATGCTTGCAGGGACACCAGGCAGAGCAAGACCCATAGTTCCCAAGCCTCTTACCCCGTATGCCAATGATCCCGTGCCCACCAGAGAGCCTTCCTCCCAGCACACCACAGCACATCACCCACATGCAGGAGCACCATGGGCTCCAAGATCCCCCTTTCAAACACACTTGTTCTTTCTTCCTCAAAGGCTGCTGTGCTAAAGTCTCACTTTCTCTGCATCATGTCACCAGCAATTTTGCCACCAGGAGCTCAGGCTAGAACATACAATGATCTGGCTTTTCTCACCACCATGTGTCAGGTGCTTTAACTTAGCCTTTCCTAATGAACTCACAGTCCCATGCGGGGCCATTTTAAAACAGATGCTAATCACAGCAGGCTCAGACACAAGAAAGGTCTTCCCATCTCACACATGTTGCAATAATTCAGAAACAACTTTTATCTGCCTGTTCTGTTTTCATGTACAAACTGGCCAAGAATCAGGCTTCAAACTTTTACAACTGAACTGAATTTGAAAAATCTTTGCTCCCTCCAAGAAGCAAACAATTATATGCCCCTCCAGGGAGAATGACTTTCAAGTCTTGCTGTAGAACAACTGTGTCAAAAGCAAATATAAAGACAGTGCTGCTCTGCACTGCAGGGGAAAACTCTGCAAAGTGAGCTTGAACTCACTGCTGGCTCAGTCAGTAACACACATACTTCCAGGTGACAGCAAATGAGAGTAATTCCTTGCTGGGAGAAAAAGGAAAGTGGGGGTTTCTCTCTGAAAAGATGTTCATTTTTTTTGCTGTGAGAACAGCAATATTACATATTTATTTCTGACTTTTTTTTTTTACTATACCACAAGGCAATCTAATTGAAAATAAACAAATTCCAAAAAAGCACATGCACTGGCATCAGAGACGGACACTTTGCTGTGATTCAACAGGCAAATCCTGATAGGCTTTCCACTTCATACATGCAGAGGGGAAATCACAGCTTCACCATAGCAACTTTGTTGTGAAAAACACTCAAATGTCAACTTGTCCCAATAGTACCGTGGGCAAGGACAGTGCAATACAAAGACAAAAAGCCCAGAGTAACAAAAATTACATTCCTGCCTTTGAAACAGTGCTGCTGGAAACACAGAAGCTAGCTCAGGTCTGGTAAGGGTTACACCTCTTCCACTCAGATATTTTAAAAACAAAACAAAACAAAAGTTTCTGGACTAGCTCTTCAGCTGGTACAAATTAACACCATCTACTGAAGTTGGGCGGGATCTGCACATCAGCTGGGGAGTTAAGCTACCTTGTCTGCTGTTTCTTCCATAAACTGCTAACCCCAGCAGTTATTACAGTGATTCCAGTTCAGCAGATGTGCTGCAGTAGCACCAGAGTGGAAACTTTCCCCTCAGTTACATCATTCTGTTCCATGCAAGATTCCAGCAAACACAGAGCAAAACCCAGAAACTATTGACCTACCCTGCCATGACAATGAAGAAATCCAGGCGGTTCCAGGTATCTCCAAGGTAACACTTCTTGCCAAAGATCCCCAGGGCCACCATCTTTAGGACCATTTCCATGGCAAAGAAGATGAAGATGAAATCATCAAATACCTGCCAAACAGAAACCAAATGTTTGATAAGCATTCTCAGCCTTGGAGTTTAAAATGCAGAATGTGAGACAACTACAATTTTCAGTACTTCTGAAAATGAGTTCAAGCCAGGACTGGAAAAAGCTTCTTTTGTGCAGCCCTGGCATCACATCTTCCTGCTGCTCAAGTAATCAAGGGGCTTTTATAGTGTTTTTTTATTTTTCCCCATGGGTGAAACAATTGATGTAGACCCAGAGACTCCTTGCATGGACTGGAAAGGAGATGTTGGCTCAACACCAGCAGGTACAAACCCAGCTAGGGAAACACCTTCCTTCCAAGGTCTCCCAGGAGGGATTCCCCATCACCCCACTGAAAATGGCTCAGATAAGGACATGGTGTAGCTTCATGCACAGCTTAGATAGCACATACCAATTAAGGATGGAGGCTTCAGATATCTGAATGTCACAGCCTCAGCAATATTATAGATGACAACCTTCATGTCACCTTCTCTTTGGGGAAGCAGCAAGCACAGCTAGTACATAGGCTAGATATACCCATGGCCCTTCTTGGCATACCGTGGCATATCTTCTCCCTTTGGGCATTCTGAAGACCACGGTACCCATGGACTCAGCAGTACCCTTGGAGGCTGCTATTCTTTCCTGCCTGGATGCTGTAACCTTAGTTATTTCTCCCTGGCTTACCTCTGAGCTGTGTATCTTGCAGCTGTCTATGTCAGGAAACCCCTGCTTATGCACAGGATCAGGAAGGTTAGCAACTGTTCTGTAATGCAAGTAGACTTCATTCATTATCTCTCTCTCACCCCATTCCCCTCCTCAAAGCAAGCTCTTGCCATTTTACAACAGGATAGTTTACTGCCAGGAACATTCTTGCCAACCTGTCTGGGAAGGTGTTGCTCACACATTGAAGGAAAGCACGCATGAAAATTTGTGACTTGGACTGACTCACCATTAAAACAAGAAGGAAGGTTGCTTACCTGTAAGATTTTGCACCTGTCAGAAAGGCAGTCCATATCCTCACACGGCTGGTACATCCCCAGGGTAACACAGTTTAACAAAATCACCATCATGCTGACACACTCAAACCAGGTGGAAAAGAGTCAAGGAAAACTTCTGTAAAAGCATTATGGCTGAAATAAGCTGATTTATAATATTCTTATGTTTTTCTCCCCCTCAGTTGCTCATTACTCCACTCCTCGATCAATCCACAACTCCTTTGAAAAGGGGAAGGTGGACGTAGTACAAAGACCTAAGTTATTTCTGTAAATCAAATCATTGCCATAGTTAAACACATACTCACTCCTCTCCTGTTTCCTTGCCAAGTCCCTTCCCTCATTGTTTACTGAATCTTTCAAATACATGGAAGAGACTTTCCATGGTGGCTTATACTGAAATGTAGCAGAGATCTCTGTGATCTAGGGACCTAAATCAAAATGGACAGCTGGATCTCTATGTCACCCTAGTGATTACTGCCCTTCTCAGAAAAGGATACAGCACAAGTCTCCCTCTTCCCTTCTGAGAGGAACTTGGAGATAAGGAGTTGCCATATTGAAACAGGTCAATGGTCCATCTAATCTGTTATTCTGCTTCCAGCAGTGACCCACGCTGGATAAAACTCCGCAATGTGCCTAATTAAGTTATTCAGTAACCATGGGGGAAATTGTGTTTCTGACCCCAGCTGGTGATCTGTTTATGCCCTAAAGCATGAGGATTGATAGACCTTATAATTGTTTTCTCAGCTACACTGGTGTCCCTGCAGATGCTTCGCTTATTCTTTTGAATCTTTTGTTGATAATTTTACTAAAATATCTGCTTCGATAACAGTTGGCAGCCGTGAGCTACACTGCCTAATTACACTTTACATTAAAAATTGTTTTCTCCTATTTATTTTTAATTTGTTACCTTTTAATTTCACCAAACACCACTTCATTTATATATTACAAAAGAGGATTAAAATGGTGTATTTGCGTGACCTTCTCTGTGCTCTCCACATAGTCTACCTGCTTCCTGTTCACCATCCCCCTCCTCCTGAAGAAATCTTGAGACCCGGTACACACATATCCAAGAAGTCATTTACAGTATTTTAGCCCTAGAAGTGGGCACATCTCTGTGATATCTTTCCAGCATTTTCACTGCAAAGCAGCGATGTAGATCTAATGAGACTGGACCTCCAAACTCTGGCAGAATCATCCTTCTTGGGTATTTTTAAGACACTTCACATAAACATATCTGCTCAGTTTCCATTTTCAGTTTTTTAATTTATCATTTTAAAATAACAGACCCAAGAAATCATCCATTTAAAATATAAGCCATTGATCGCATCCATTTTCAGTTCTTGCAGAACTGAATCCAAAACAGTGCTCTGTATCTCTGGTCACTTCTGAAAGACACTCAACATCTATGGTTCATTTTGAGCAACTCTTCTGTGCTCATTCTCTGACAGTGATTCATGACTAACCTGCACAATCTGATTTAGAAGATTATTAATTCTTTCTCTTCTCCCCCACCTGGTTTTCAGTGAGCTACCTTCAGTTGCAAAATCAGACAAGAGCAGGGCGCTAGCTCTACTGTGCCAATCATGCTATGATGTGATTTCAAGAACATGTTAGCTCTGTCCCTCACCAAGATAATCCCAAGTGCTGTACAAAGTAATGCACATAGAGCCCACCCTCAATGTGGGCTTCAAAACCAGAGGCCTTTTCCGAGAGGAACACACCAAAAAGACACGAATAAAATGTTTGCCCTCAGAGGTCTACGTGACAGAACTTCAACTTTCCACCTTTCTCTCTCTTACACATTTCTTTAATGATCTGATCCAAAGCCCAAGAAAGCAATCAGAGATGTTTCCATTAGCTCCCACAGGCTCTTTGGGTAAGACTGCAATTCTCTTTTGGACTTTTCAAAATCTGTTCAGTATCATCTTTGACAGAACTAAAGAACCACAGAGTGGTTGAGGTTGGAAGAGGCGTCTGGAGGTCATCTTGTCCAACCCCTCTGCTCAAAATAGCATCAACTACAGCAGCTTACTCAGGGTCACATCCAGTTGGGTTTTGAGTATCTCCAAGGATGGAGGCAGCAGAACCTCTCTGGGCAACCTGCTCCAGTGTTTGACTATCTACACAGTGAAAAAGTGTTTTGTTACATTTAAATGTGATATCCCATGTTTCAGGCTGTGCCCATTTCCTCTTGCCCTGTCACTGAGCACCACTGCGCAGTTTTGTCTCCTTTAGTCTTCCCATCAGGTATTTATACACATGGATAAGATTGCCCTGAGCATTCTCTTCTCCAGGCTGAGCAATCCCAGTTCTCTCAGCCTTCCCATGTTGCAGCAGGTGCTTTGACAGCTACTGGAAAGGCAGCACCAGTGAAGCCCTGATGGAGGGATCAGTGCTGAATGACACTCTTCAAGGGGCTAGAAAAGTTTCAGCATGGGCTGAGCCAATGCCTGCAAAAGTCCCTCTCCCTGGGCATAAGGCAGTCAGAAGAGGTATGGACAGAGCCGGTGCTTAGAGCAGCCCTGGATGAAATTAATACTTTAAAAATGAAAAGCAGAAATTGTTTTAAAAGCCAGGTTTGTTTTTTTTTTTCCTTCAGCAAACATCCAGAAAACATGACAAGAGACCAGGAGGCAGTGAATACTACTCTCTAACTGCAGCCAAACTCAGGGAATTCAGGCAAAGGTGCTCAAAGTCAGGGCTTTATTTCATACAGATCTACACTTTTGTGCACATGCTTCAGCAGCAGCAACTCAGAAGTGGTCAGGAGGCTCCCCTGTTCCCCTTGCTCCTCTCGCTCCCGTTGCAGTGCCCCTGCTTAGGCCACATAGACCATGACAGGGTGCCTTTGGGCAGCCAGCAAGACCCCAAAGCACAAGACATGGCCAGCACAGTGAGCACTCCCAAAAATGTTGCAATTCGCACCAGATGCACAAGATCCTCATCCTCTTGCTCAAAAAGCTCTGGCCAGCCGCATTCAGTTTCTCTGCCCCTGCTTTTTGTATACCAGCTCTCTGAAAGTTTGCCAGCGTTGTCCAGGCTTCCCAAGGATGTTGCTGAATCGCTGGCGGCTCCTGGGCTATTAAAGTGACATTAGGAAAAGCTGCCACCCCACAGTTTTCCTTTCAGAGCAGGAGGGAACCCTGAAAAGGCACATCCAACCTGCAGCAGAGAGGAAGAAAGTGTGAGATGAAAACCAGAGCATCTCCTGCCCCAAGTCAGGAGGGGCTGCTGCCTGCTTGGGTCGGTGGAGGGGGTAATTAGAAGTACCTGCTGCCTTCAATGTGTCACTGCTGTCAACCACGGTGACTGCCTCCCGTCACCACAGCAACAGCCTGCAGCCAGGTTTATCATCTTTCTTTCGGTGATGCCTCCCCCTCCCTGCATTCTTCACCCCCTCCTTTTCCCTGTGCCTGAGCCTGTAATTAATTTCAGCTGCTAACAAAGCGGGTCCTCACAATCTGCATCATTCAGTCAGAAGTTTCATTACTAATTAACTTCTTTCAAAGTACAAATCTCCTAATTACAAGCGAACCCGTGCACATGCTATCCCCCTCTACCCCGGCCCTTCCACACAGCTGCTCTCCCACTCCCACCACCTTTCCCAGCAAGGCCTGGGGACTCTGACAAGTTTTGGAAACTAAAAGGAGACCCAGGCATTTCTGCCCAGGGTTCGCTTCTCTCTCTTGGCTACCACAACATGCTTCAGAGGAAGGTACCAGAAAACCCGCAGCAATCCATTATGTAATAACTTGCCCTTAAAGGGAGGTTTTTCCCTAGTGGTGACAGTTCATAGTTGACTCAAGCCCTCAGGGATAAAGGGGTCACGGCACTCATTTGAAAAAGGAAAAATAGTAAGGGAGAAAGGGTTCTCGACTCATTTAACCACGGGCTATTCTCATTATCCACATAACTGTCTCCTCCTTGTAAAAGTCCTGTCAAGATCTTGGCTTCAGCACTGTCTTGTGGCATCAAGATCCATATCTAGGTTAATTATATTTTGCCTAAAACACATTTCCTTGTACTGGTTCTACAGCTGGTGCCTGCCTGTGGCAGAGACACTTTGCTTTGCTGATGGGTGCCATGCTTGCCCCTCCACACTATGAGGGGGGCATGGCCAGCTGCTAGCCAGAGGCAGCCGCTGTGTGTATCTATTGACACTCTATCATGTTTTACAATGGACAGGGCAAGTCTGGGATGGGGAGAGACTCAAGGGGGATGTGCATTACCAGCATACACTAAGAAAGAGCCACGAATCACCCCAAACCATCTAGGATGGAGTCAGTGCCGAAAGTCACAAGTTACAGGACAGTTGAAGAGGTCTACAGGCGTTTCTGGGAGCTGGACATGTTGTGGTAGTGCTTGATAACGTGACTATGCATAATGTGAGATTGTTAGAAAGGAGCTATGGGATACAGGCAAAGCTTTTGGGCTCAATTCCTGAACGACAAATAGCAGAAACAAGGTATGCTTGCACCTAGAGAACTGGGTACCGCTTAATGTTCTCGGGATCAGCCTCAATCACTAACAAAAATATAACAGAGCAAAACAAAACAATGCTTTGGTGTCCTCTCTCCTCTTCCTCTTTCATCAACATCTGAAGGGTAAGAGTACACCAGGCACAAAGAGCTCCCCAGTGGCTAGCACTCCTAACAGCACAGAAAATACATAATGTTTACAAGCGTGACAAGCCCTCAGTCTTTCCTGTTGCTATCTCCTTCTATCTCCACACCACTCCTAGGGTATGCCTTGTGCCAATTCAGGTCTTGAACATCTCAGATCTCCTTAAGCAGCTGTAGAAACGCCTTGGCTACAAAGCACTTACAGCAAGGCGGAAAAGCCAGCCCAATGGTACAGCTGGTCACAGCAGCACCCGTTCCTGCCCCAAAACAGAGAGAAGAGCCTGCTGTGGTAGAGCAGTTCAGTGACTGAACTGGAAACATGGAGCCCCATGCAATGCATCACAAACACCAGCCACCCATGCACACAACTCCTTGTGGCCCCCCACCTGTGAGCTGGTGCCAGGCAGGCACAGCTGTGATCACCATGCAGGTGAGACATCACATTTGCATGATCACTCCTCTCTG